AATGGTTAGACTGGGTCATTCTGAGGCTCTGTAGAGCTGTTACCAGTGGTCTAACTCTTCTCTGTCCTGCTATAGAATCTGTTACTTTTGCTCTGGCCTCTGGGTCAAAGAATCAGAGTTTACTCACTGCCTACAAAGAAAGGTCCTAGTCCCTCTGCACCCCATAGTCACCAATCCCAGCCTCTCCTTGGGGAACAAGCTGCTGCCAGTTGACCCTGTGGTGTCACAGCTGCTGTCAGCAATGCCACCCTCCTGGGGCAGGGATGGAAGAATGTGATTTAATTTCTGATGGAATGTGCCCTTTGGGACTGCCCATGGAAGAGGAGGGAGTGGAAACCAAGCCAACCGGAGCCTAGGAGCCTAGGAAACCAGATAAGACACCAGGCTTAGAGAGAGGCCCCTAGGTCTCTCTTAGACCCCACCACCCTCACCCTATGGGGAGGGCTAAGTTCAGGGTGGGCCCTTGAGCAAGGAAAGACTGGTGTTTTCTCCAACATGTCAGCTTCTTCCTTCCCAAGCCCTACAACAGGCTGGGCTCTGCTGCCCAAAGTGTGGATGTCGGGCTGGGAAGGTGGCTCAGTGGTAGAGCGCTTGCCTTGCATGCATGGCCCTGGGTTCGATTCCTCAGCACCACATAAGCAAAAAGAATAAAAGCCGGAAGTGGCACTGTGGCCCAAGTGGTAGAGCGCTAGCCTTGAGCTGAAGAGCTGAGGGACAGCGCCCAGGCCCAGAGTTCAGGCCCCATGACCAGACACCACCCCCCCCAAAAAAAAACAAAAACAAAGTGTGGATGTCTCCTTGTTTTCTGATTTTTTTTTGGGGGGGGGGGAGGTATCAGTACTGGTGCTTGAACTCAGAGCCTAATCATTACCTCTTAGTTTTTTTTTTTCTCAAGCCAAGCACCTGAGCACTCTACCACTTGAGCCACAGTTCCACTATTGACTTTTTGCTGGTTACTTGGAGATAAGTCTCACAGACTTTCCGGCCTGGTCTGGCTTTGAACTTTGGTCCTCAGATCTCAGCCTCTTGAGTAGCCAGGATTACAGATTTGAACCACTGCTGTTCTTAATGCTCTACACTAAAGGGAAGACCCCAGGTCCCTGAGTTCCCAAACCTAGAGTCTTCTTCTTCTGCCTTAGCCTTCTCCCCTTCTAGCCACAAACTCCCCTCCTTGGCTCACTCCTCCCCCCTCCCCAGCACTCAGCTGTGGCTCCAGAAATAAACCAAAGCAGGTGCCAAGAGGCCTCTGTCGAGGAACCTCCCTTCTGCAGCTGTGGACTCAGCTGCTGACAAGCCAAGGCAGAGCCCCTGGGCCCCAGGAAGGGGGACCTCCTGGGGAGACTTCGGCTGGCTCTGAGTCCCTCCTGGGTCCTCCTAGACTCCATCTCCTAAATAAGAAGAGACACCTTTTACTATTAACCTCACTTGCCACTCAGGGACCTAACTCTCCCTCCTGTCTCTCTGCTCCTCTCTTCTGTTTTCCACATCCTTTCCCTTCCTGTCTGGCCCCTTCCCAACTCCTAAATCCTTTGGTCTCTCCAGGGCTACTTCCTGTTTGACGCCCCTCCCCCTCATTTACTAGGGAATGATGTCAGAGAGAACTTCCATGGACTATGATGGGGACACTGAGGCAGCGATGATCTGTCCCTTGCCATTGACACTGAGTTTTTACATGCCACTTGGGATCTATAGAACATGGGAGGGCTGTGGGCTGCTCTCCCTTAAATATTCCATCCCCAAGTGGTCAACAGCCTTCCTCCTATTAACAATCCTCCAAACACTGAGGAAGAACACAGCAGCACAGGTCCACCCACTTAGATGATGAACTATGTCTACATTCCAGTGGGGCTCATTTCCTCCATCCTCTTCCTTCTCCCCAGCCTGCTTGTCTCTCTTCTCGTCTCCAATTTTTCTTCCTGCTTTCTTCGGCATCTTTAAGCTCTTCCTGTCTAGGAAGAACCAGGCCTAAGGAAAACCAGACCTCAGGGGAGTACTCCAGTCTGGGGAAGAGAGGAACTCTTTATGGTTAGAGGAGAGGGCACCTGGGTCCTCACTTGGGCAGGGACCTGGCTGCAGACCCCCAGGGAAAGCCCCCTACCCACAAGCGTCTGACAAGCTGGGCATTTTTGGAAGTCTTTGGGAGCTGCTGTGTCATGACAGGCAGCCAGCAGGACAATGGGGTCCTTTCTCTCCCTGTGCAGGAGTCAAGACCACAGACAGGGCCTGGAGGCTGAGACAAAGGCCCCAGTGAGGTTAGGCAGCGCTGTGGGAGGCAGAGATGAGGGGTGGGGAAGGGGGAGGGGGGGTTGTATGAATCCAAGTAGCCTGGAGGGAAGTAGGGACCTGGTTCGAGTCTCTGGAAGGCAAGCTCAGTGGTTTCCATGCCCCTGGACATTGCTCAAGCACCCACCTCATACCCAGGCTGGCTCTTCCCTCTTCATAAACATCCACTGCAACTCCCCTCATCCCCTAGGTTACTGCAGGAGACCCCACTCCAGACATGTGAGAAGACTTCGAGCTGAACCTCACTCATATCTAAGGTCTTGTCAGAGAGGACACGTGGTCAGGTCTGTGCTGTGGCCTAGAGGCTCAGGTGAGACCCCAGCTCCATCTGCCTAAAGAGATATGCTTGACTCTTGGACTGAGCCACCTTCCTCAGGTCCAGGGTAGGTAACTTTCTCTCTTTCTCTCTCCCCTCCCCCCCCTCTCTCCCCACCCGCCCCCTCCCCCCACTTCACGTACACACAAACATGTGCCCTGGGCCAGGGCTTAGATTCTGCAGGTGCTGCTGGACCAGATCCCCTTTCCCCAGGAAGCCCAACAAAGCCAGGAGAATTTCTGGCTTCCGTTTCCGGCTCTGCCAGAGCAGCCCAGCAAGTGTGGGGAGGGGAGATTCTAGTTCCCCCCACCCCCATCTCCAATCTACCTTTGGGAGTCTGTCTACCACAGATCAGAGAACTTGAACCAGACCTGAGGTAGACTTGACCAGGGGGCTGGATCACTACCAGGGGCTCTAGGAAGTTAAACCTTCTCTTTAAATTGCAATAAATCCCCAAAGATAGACACTGCCCCTCTCTAGCCTTCACTTAAGGCGCCACTGGCAAAGGCCCCCTTTCTTCCTGCACTTGGTGTTCTAGCTCAGTGCTCTGATACTCCTAAAAATGCACCAAATGGGCAATTATAGGCCGATGCAGGATGAAGTGGGGTTCTACCCTGGCCCCAGCATCAGCCTCTTTCCTGTACCCTCCCTAGGAACCAGCTCCCACTCCCTGATCATGCTGGGTGGCTGTGTGGGGAGGACACAAGGTGGAAAGAAGAAAGAATGAGGAGGTGGTGGTTTGGGAGTCTGGAAGGCCAGTCCTAGAATCTCAGAGATCAACTGTTTGGGGTTAGATATGGGAGGGGACTCCTGGGCAGGGATGGTCGGGGAGCGGCCCAGCTCTTCCATGGCACCTGTTGCAAACCTGTTCCTGTCAGTCCTGCCTTGTTGTCTCTCTTTATTGCCCAGGTTTCTGAATCTCTGGATCTATTTCCTTGCTTCTTGGTTTCCCCAGGTTTTTTGGCTTTCAGGAAAAAAAAAAAAAAACAAAAGGAGTAAGAATTGTCTGTGTGGACAAACAGTAGAGCTGAGCACAAGCAAGAGTGTACATGTGGCAGTATGTACATATGTATGTGTGTGAGACTGTGAGGCTAAGAGAGGGTCTGCAGCAAAGACTCCCCCCAGCCCCAAGGGGGAACAGACCACAACCTAATACACTTTACAGTTCTGTGCACTATGCTGTCCACAGAAAAGCGCACGTACGCACACACACACACACACACACACACACACAGAGTCATTTTCTCTCAGTTCTGAATGACCTCATCCTCTAACCTCCGCTGACTCACAGTTCCCCCCTCCCTGCCCAGCTCAGCCTGGCCGGAAGTCTTATCCTCCCCCCCTTAACTACCCAGCGTCCCCACCCTAGATGTGACAGAGAGGCCACGGCGCCCCCTGGTGGCCTCCTGGGGCTGCATCCCTATTCCCCCACACACGTGCACAGGGTCCTCTCGGAGCCACGTGCCTGTGCCCGCTGCGTCCTCTGCTGGCCATAGCCTATGAGACCCACAGGTTCTTGCCCGGGGTCCAGCCCACCACAGGGCTGGGGACTTCTCTCTGCCCTTACTTGTTTCTCTACTTCCAGCTTACTTGACATATGCCTTCCGGCCATGCAGACCTTAGATCTGTGCAGGGCCCCCAGAGTCCTCCTTTCACCCTCAACAATCTCTCTCCCGGAGGACCCCTTAGAAGTTTAGAACTGGTTCAAGCCCCACAACCGGCCAAAAAAAAAAAGTTAAAGTTAAAAAAAAAAGTTCAGAACTGGAACACCAAAGTGCCCCGCCCCCTGCCTCTCATTCCCCAAACTGAACTGTAATTGGGCCTGACTCTTGGGCACCACATTGCTTTCCAAATCTCCAGAGGCTACACACTGATGCTGTCCCTACCTCTGGGAGTTCCTTCCTTCCCTGAGTACTTATTAGGCTGTTCTCTGCCAAGCACGGCTCTATCCACTGACATCTTGGGAACTTCTCTGACCTTTGGAAGCTAATAGAGATATTAGATATACATCCTGTGAGCTCTCTCTGTCTCTGTCTCTCTGTCTCTCTCTCTCTCTCTCTCACACACACACACACACATTCTCCAAATTTGTTTGGGCCCAAACACAACTTTATTTCTGTCTGTTTTTTACTAGCACATGATCCTGTAAACACCAGTGCTCCCTAGAGAAGTAGAGACACTGGATGGATGGATGGATGGCATGGAGGGCAATTGAGGCACTTATGGATTTAGCTATTGCCCTGAGGGAAAGCCCGAAGCCTAGGTAGGGAAGGGGGGGGGGGGCCGGGTTGGGCAGAGCCACCTGGGTGTTTCCCAGAAGCCCCTCAGGCACTGCTGTCTGGAGTCCAGCTCCACCCCTCTCATGTTGACATTCCCTGTGGTGGGAAATGCACATAGGGTGAGGGACAGTTGAAGGGAGAGGGCGGTACTGGGAATATCAGAGTTGGAGACCTTGCCCTTAGGGACCAGAAGGAGGTGGCAGCAGTGTCTTTTGGTGTCCCAGTTGCCTCCACTGATATCCTCCTGGTTTCTTCACTGGGTGCACAGCTCGAGCCTGGGGAAGAAAACACACACTCTCACTCTACCCTGGGCATCTCTTCCTGTTTTTCTCAGAGTCCATCCTCTGGTCTTCTTGCTCTTCAACCCCTGTCCTTATTAAAATGTTTGTTCTTTTTTCTTGTCTGAAATCAGAACTCGAACTCAGTGCCTGATGCTTTTGCTCAGAGGCTGGAGCTTGCTCTCCCATACCTCTAACCCCAAAATGCTTGACCTGATTTAGCCCTTCAGAGCCTAGAGTGAGTTACATGTTCCCAGACCTCAACACAGAAGGGCATTCTAGCCGACCTCCTTCTCTGTTCCAGAGAGGGGCAGTGATTACTCCAAACTCACACAGCTGGTGAGAGGCAGAGCTGGATTGGCGCCCAGGGCTTCTATTAGCTAGTGGCCCCCATCTATCTCCTGGTACTCACAGGCCTTCGGGGCACACAGGAGATTTGAGGGGGCTCCCAAAGTCCATTCTCCTGGCAGCGGATCAGTGGAAAATTGCGCTGAGCTAGTCCTTCCCGGCACCGATATCGAAGCACAGTGTCCACCTCGTAGCGTAGCCTCGGGCGGCCAAACACTTGAGCCAGGGGCAGCTCTGGTGGAGGCCCACAGGATACTGCAGGGATGGGGAACGTGGTTAGGAGCTGGAAGTCTGGATGCGTGGATAACAGTTCCCAGAATCTTAATGGAGAGACGAAGAATGGCCACAAGATGACATAAAAGACAAGGATTCCTGGGCTGAGAAGGTGGCTCAGTGGTAGAGTGCCTGTCTTGCATACAGCACCACATAAGCAGAAAAAGTCAGAAGTGGTGCTGTGGCTCAAGTGGTAGTGCTCTAATCTTGAGCTGGATAGCTGAGGGACAGCACCCAGAGTTCAAGCCCCAAGACCAGAAAAAAAAAAAAAAAAAAGACAAGGATTCTGAGTGGACCCTTGCCATCTGTTAGCTGTCCTGGGGTCTAGAACACACTCCTCTGGGTAGCTTCTATAAACATCAATCTACAGACTCTTCTTCCCTTCCCATCCCTCCCTTCCCTTGCCCACCCTCACCCAGCCCCATCTTGCAGGTGTAGGATAGGTGGTAGTTGCAAGGCACGTCACTCCATTGTCCTTGGTCATGCCACACCATGACCACGCAGTTCTCTCCAGACAGGAAGTAGCTGTCAGGCTGCCCAGGATTCCAGTTCTCATAGAGCTAAGGTGGGGTGGGGGGGAGGGCAAGGTAGGTGTTGAGGAGCCCTAAGGAATGGGCTTAAAGGACGTGGGGAGGGCTGGTAGGACACCAAGGAGAGGGAAAGCTAGGGGTCTAGGGGACATCCAGAGGTTTGGGGAGAGGAATAATGGGAGCCAGAGAGAAGAGAAAGGAAGGAGTGTGCAGGGTATAAAAGGTAAAAGGCACAAGAAGGGAAGGTGGCCAGAAAAAGAAGGGAAGGAAGCAGGAGTAAGGCAGAGTGTTTTGAGAAAGTGAACTAAATGGCCTGAGGGAAGCTGAGGCTTCTCACCAGCGGGACACCATCTGACCACAGGAAGTCTCCCTCGATGGTCCTGTCATTGAGCCCAATCCACTGGTACTCCCGGTATTGATCTGGGGAAGAAGGGGGGTGGGGCGGGGGAAGGAGTGCAGTGAGCGAAGCTGCCAGCAGAGGGCAGCCACTGTGTTACCTGGTGGTGTGTAGGTGGCCACAGGGTCCCACATCCAAAAGCTAAGCCTCCCTCTGTGTGTGTAGGGTGTGTGTGTGTGTGTGTGTGTGTGTGTGTGTGTGTGTGTGTGTGTGTGTTGCTAAGAGTTGAACCCAGGACCTCAAGCATCCTAGGCAAGCCCTCTACCACTTAAGCTGTGTCCTCAACCTCTTTTACCCAACTTCTGCACATGGGCCTGATGGAAGGCAGAGGTTTGGGGTGGAAAAAGAAAAATACCACTCTAGCTAGGAAAAGGGGAACGGGGAAATGAGCAAACACTTTTAAGAACGGTGTTGAGTTAATCAGATGAAGGGGGGAGAATCAGAGAAGTGAGTGAAGGCCTCTGGCTGATGCAGGTGCAATTCATTTCCTGCGATCCCAACCGGTCCCTTCCCTGAAACCCTACCACCTTAGCGTGGAGAGAGAGAAAGGAAAGAGAGTGCACGAATGCATGAATGAATGGAGTGCACGCATTAGCAAGGAAGGGGGTCACTAGCGCGGGAGGGAGTGTGCAGGGACCCAGCCCACTGTTGATGAAGTTCTGTTCCTCCGGTGTGCTGATGCTGGCCAGGTGCGCGCCGTACATCCGGCACTGAGTCTCGGCCTCCTCCCAGCTCCTTCGTGTAGAAAAGTGCTTGTAGCAGGAGCCCTGAAAGGCATCCCAGCCGGGGCTGCAGAAGTGGAGGCCTGGCACACACAAGGGCGGGCATCTTAGGCAGAGGGCCTGGGAACCCGAGGAGCCTGGGCTCCTGGGAGGGACACGTCCCTCTCCTTCCACCCTCGCAGATGGAGCCTGGGCGGGGCCACGGGGAGGGGCGGGGCCTGGGAGCAAGGGGCGGGACCAAGGTGGGGGGGGCAGGAGGAGGTTGGCAGTGCCCTGGGACAGGGCCCATAGTGCCTTCTTTAGCGGCAGGGACCACGGTGAGTTGGAGTTCAGGTCTGGATCTCTGTAATCCTCCATCCTAGAGAACTGTGCCCTCCTGGCTTCTCAGAGGCAGGGAAAAACATCACGATTGCCTGCCGGATGCCTCGAGTGTGCTCAGTTTTAAGAGGCAATTTTGGTCCCTTAACAGCCCAGGACATTCAGGGTAGGACACAGAGAACTTGTGCAACTTGCCTGAAGTAGGGATTCATTTGTGACAAAGCCCAAACCAGTGACCTCCCTTCTCCTTCCAGATCTAATATATCGGCGGGGGCAGGGACCGGGTTGCAGGTCTTTCCCTCCTTAACCCATGCCCCTCAACACACTCACCAACATCGCACAGGTCCCCCCCATAGCCAGGCAAACATAGGCAGCGGACCCCCTCCTCCTCCTCCTCCTCCAAGCATGTGCCACCATTGTGGCAGGGGTTGGGGACACAGTCACCTGGGGGGGGGGGAGAGAAGTGAGGTGGAGAGTGGACCACAGATCTGTAGCCTGAACCCTCAAAGGGGTGAGTCTAGAGGTTACCCTAGTCCTGACCTCACTGTCCTGGGAGTTAATAGTTCTTCCTAGAGCCTACCACTGGATACAACCTAGCCCAGCCCAGAGTTCTTTCCTTCCATCATTCTACAGTTACTCATTGGCTCATCTGTGCACAAGCCACTGTCATGCTAACCAGTGTGTGCCAGTCCAATAGGGACAGAGAGGAAGAGGTCAGGGAAATCCTCACCTAACCTCACTAAGGGGAAAGACATGAGGTGTCATGAGACCTGGTTCTTCCATGTTACACTGACATCACTTTTTTCTGCCACTAGGCCGTAATCTTTGTGCCAGTTCTGTGCAGTCTAGGTGGGCTAGGAAAATCACCATAGCATTCCTCTGCTGCTCCTAGAACCTGATGGACTAGGTGATGCTAACCATTTCTGGTGCTGTCCAATGAGCTGAGTCAGTTAGCCCAGAAGTTGTTAGTGGAGATATAGTTTGCTTTCTCATTGTTTGCCCTGTATCTGCTTCCCTGCCTCAGCTTTTACACATGTTTGCATCTTCTTTTTCTCTCACCCTCTCTTCTCCTTGCCTCTGTTGTGGGCTTCCTCTAGTTTACTACCCCGAATCATCTCACTCTTCCTTTCTAGCTCCCTCTCCTCCACGTAGCCCTCTTAGTTTACTACACTGCCCTAAAGGCCTGCAGTCTATGGTCTGAATCTGGCCCCATCTGCTAGGCCGTCTGCTGTTTGACCTTCTCTCAGGACCCTGGGGTAGGCGGTGACTGTTGTCAGCTGTGCCTGAAAGCCGAAGGGGCTGCGAGTTGCCACTGCTTTCCGGTTCAGATGAACTGGGCGAAATAGTTTCCTAGATCAACAGTGCAGGTCAGTGCCCTCAACCATATGGCTAGAGGTGGGGGGGCCCAGAATCTTTCAGATCCACCATCTATCCTCAGCAGCTGAAGCCAAGGCCCATAATGCATCACTCTGTCTTGGCTAGGAGTGGGGGTGGTAGAAAAGCTGGAATGCTGGGATGACCTGGCTGTTTTGGGCAAAAGGAATCAATCTTTCCTCTCCTGCCTACAGTTCCTTCCACCTGATTATACTACTCCCCACCCCAGGCATTCCATTTAGCTGATTAAGCACCAGCTCCCTCCAACTAAGGGTAGGCATTCTGAGCCCATTTCATTCCTCACACTTTCCTGCTGCTCCTGTTGGTTCCCCTCTCCTTCCAGTACAGCCCTCCAAGCTTGGTGACACAGACTCTTCAACTTCATCCTTGATTCCTCCCTCACCCCAGGAAAAGTTCCCGCCCCTAGCTGTGACTGTAGGACCTGATTCCAGTGTAGGCTAAGGACTGTTCTGAGGGATTTCTTGATTTCCTCCCTCACTCTCTTTGGACAACTGCTATATAGCCAGAAAGCTTTCCTCTTCCTTCTGTTCGCACAGTGGACAGGGGACCTCTGGTTCCTCCTCCAGGTGGACCACAACATTGCAGAGACCAGGATGCTCCTGAACCTCAAGGCCTGGGAGATAGCCCACCTGGACCATCTAGGGGAGGACCCTAGCGTTTTCCAGAGGCCTCCACTGGGAATCTTAACCTTCCATGAGTAGGTAGGGCTTGTCTCAGACCCCAGAAGCTTCCCTCCTCCCCCCACTGCCATTTTTGTCTTCTCCAGAATTAGAAACAGATCCTTTGGGTTGAAGAGTCTGAAACCATTCCTCATGGGAGTGGATATGGTCATTAGTGCAGGGGTTAGTGGAGGAGGTGGGGTGATGGGGGCAGTAAGAGAGAGTTAGGTACTGTCCTCATGCTGAGAGGAGGGGAAGGGCTAGGTTGTCTGGATGCCAGGGACCTGGCTCCATGCAGAGACCATTACAGTCACTACTTCATACAGAAGACTCCAAATGGCTCAAAACCAAATATAAATGCACATCACACACCCGAGATTGCATGGGTTTCTCCCCATGAGGAAGGAGGGAGTATAACTCCCAGGCTTCCACAAATGGGCAAATCAGAGACTGCTTCAGTCAGAGGGAGAGTGTACACCAGCCTGACAAGGAGAGCCTGGGGACCTTTGGGGCTGTTAAGACTACTCTCACAGGAAAAGTGTTGGCTGAATATGAAAAAGAAGAGAGGTAGCAAGAGAGAAAGAAGGAAGGAGGAGTCATGGAGACAGAGTAGCCAGCTGCCCATGACACAGACCCATGGAATAAGAAGGGCAGACAGCTGGAAATGGAAACAGGGTATCAAAGGTTGGTTACAAAGCAGTTTAATAGAGATTTATTTCCAAGGCTTGTTTTCCATGAAACAGTTGGAAAAAAAATACTTCACAGAAGTAGTGGCTTAAGGCTCTATGGGGTGAGGACTGTCCTGGACCCCAGAGGCTGAGGGGGTGCGGATGGTCTCCCAGGCTTCCCTGAGACAAGAGGCTGGAGTAATGGCATGGAGGGTAGAGGATTAGGAGATGGGCTTGGTCCCAATGAGTACGACAGGTGACAAGGGCACCTAGCAGAAGTATAAGGTGCCCTGTGGACTAGTGCAATGTGGTCATCTCTATGAGAAGTGAGGTCCTGAGGGCAGCAGGGTCATCAGTGAGGGGAGGGGAGCTGGAGGGTCACAGGGTGAGCAATCAGAAAGCTAGATGGAAGTCATAGGTGGGGGATCCAACACTGGAGGATTCCCCCCGGGTAGAGATAGGTAAGAAAATGAAGGCAAAAGGAGAGTTGAGTCTGGGGATGATGATGGATTAAAGGCCAATAGGTCAGGTGATCCACAGCTGCAGGGGGAAGAAAAGGAGGATGAAGAGGAAGACTGAGCCTTGAGCAGAGTTACCTGATGAGGGGGCCACAGCCACTCCGCCTCGGCTGGCGCTGTCAGTGGGCAGCACTGGCTGGGCCAGCACTGAGGTCCCTGCTGGGACAGTTCTTCCGGAATTCTCTTCCAAGGGGACCTCCAATTCTCTGGTACCCTCAGGGGCCCTTGTAGCTGGAAGCAGGGAAGGGGTATCCTCCGAGCTCCCTGTCTCCTCACTCTCTCCTCGAAGGACCCCAGATAGATCAGGGCCCCCAGCTTCCTCTCCCAGCTCTCTTGCCCCAACTGGAGTGGAAGGTGGTGGGGATGCTAAGCTCCCCGCCTTTGGAGTAGGCAGAGTCTCAGTAAGTGGTCCATGGACCCTTGGAGGCCTGGCAGTTTTTGGTTCTCCACTAGGAGGTGGTGATGCACCAGGCTGCAGGACAGCCCTTGCCGGTGGGGATGCCTGGGAGAGCGACTCCTCCATGTCCATGTCAGTGGGGAGAGGTCTGCTGAGCTCACTGGGCCATGCCCACAAGTCCTCATCCTCCACCTCTTTGTCCTCTTCCTCTATCTCTTCTTCATCCTTATAGCTCTCTTCTTCCTCTAATACTTTGCTTTCCTCTTCTGAAGACCCCGTGGGTGGCACAATGGATTGGGTTTCAAATTCTAGGTAAAGCACAAACAGTTCAGCACCAGGGACAGCACCCTCCAGGGGATAGAAAGAAGAGAAGGGTAGTGGTGTAGAAGGGTGGCCTCTGTAGTCAATGCTTGTAGTTCTAGTTACTCAGGAGGCTAACATCTGAGGATCATAGTTCAAAGCCAACTGGGGCAGGAAAGTCTGTGAGACTTTTTTTCCTGCTGGTCTTAAGGCTTTTGTTCCAGGTTAGCACTCTGCCACTTGAGCCATTTCCAGCTTTTTCTGAGTAGTCAATTGAAGATAAGAATCTCACAGACTTTTTGTCCAGGCTGGCTTTGAACTTCCATCCTTGGATATCTGCCTCCCGAGTAGCTGGGATTACAGATGTGAGCCACTGGCGCCCAGCATGTGAGACTTTTTTCCCTCAAGGCTAGCACTCTACCACTCAAGTCACAGAATTACTTCTGACTTTTTCTGTTTATGTGGTACTGAGGAATCAAAACCAGGGTTTCATACAGGCTGAGCAAGCACTCTACGACTAAGCCACATTCCCAGCTCATGTGAGACTCTTATTTACAATTAGCCACCAAAGAGCTGGAAGTGGAGGTGTGATTTAAGTGGTAGAGTATTTGAGCATTGAGCATAAAAGCTCAGGAACAGTCTTAGTCTGTTACCATGCTAGTCTCTTTTGGGTAAGTAAGGTAGAGGAAGAGCCAAAAAAGGGATATCTCTTCTTCCCACAGTCCATGAACCCTGTCAGGGAACAGCTCCTTAGTCTAAGCTTTTCCAGCCCTAGGAAATTGTGGGGGGGGGGGCCTAGAATTTTCTAAAATGACAAAGTTTGGGAGAGGGACAGAAGTCATGTCCTGCCCCACTGAGCTACTAAGGACAGGGGAGACTTATGACAGCTATGACCCCAGCATCCTAGTGGGCTTGCCCCTTCTGCCCCTGCCTTCTCTCGGGTGGCGACTTCTCTACAGTGAGGGATGTGAGTTACCTAGGAGGGTCTTTGGGGCCTCCGCTGGGTCTTCTGGGGTGGAGCTCCCACCTCCTCCATCCTCCATGATGGGAATGGAGTAGATGGCCCCACGGGACTCACTCTCCATGGTTTCCTGAGGCAGCTGCAATTCCTCCAGGGTCTCTGTCACTGTGACAATGGCCTCTAGACCATCAGAGGCTGGGTTGGAGGTCTCAGGCATGGTAGAGGGGTGAGCAGAGTCTGTGGCAGGAGGAAAGTGTTGATGGAAGCTGGGCCCTCCCAGCCCATGGCCTGTATGTGAGGGCTGTGGGTTAGACTGTCAGTAATGCTGGAATTCTCTTAGTTCTTTCACGGCTTCCCTACAGTGTACCTATCAGGGTTTCGGAGGCACCTCAGAACTTTGCCACTCATTCCTCAAGCATTAATCATGTGCCTACAAAAATAATGCCAAGCATTCTTCTGGGCCCTGAAAATATAATGCAGAATCTCTAACTTCCTGCCCTCCAAGCAGTTTGTATTATAAATAAAGAGAGCAAACTTACTGTATAATGTTACAATAAAATAATTAAGCAGACCTAGAAAGAAGAGTTTTGGGACACTACTTTGGAAGGGTCAGGAAGGGCTCAGGTGAAAGCTAGTCCCCGGAGATGATGTGAGCAGAAGCACGGATTGAGTAGCCTCAGCACCTTTGTATCTTGGGCTTGGATCAAGGTACCAGGGATCCCAGTCACCCCAGGACTCTTGAAATGGAAGGGGATAGATAAACACCATCCCTACAGCACAGCTGAAGAGCAAAGTGCAGAAAGAACATTCTGGTCACCCCTGAAGGTCTCATAATTGAGGAACAGGGAAAAGGAAAGGTCATCTCCTTGGGGACCACTCCTTTCACATACTCAGAGGTTCAAGCTAAGTTATGTTGTCCTTTGGGGAAGGGAACTGAGAGCAGAAAGCTAATAAAGCAAATGAGGAATTGGGCCGGGAAAGGCCCTGAGAGCTATCTGTGCCCAGCTAGGAGGACAGGACCATCATCATCACCTGCTCTAGTGAGCCTTGCTGCACACAAGACCAGCAATCCTGCCTCTGTGCTGCCTTAGTCCTTCACCTCCTCCCATTGTAGTCATTCTCTCCTCCCTCCTTCCCAACTCCATCTTAGTTCCTCCAGCCACTTCCTTCAGGAGAAAGTGCTTGGCTCCTAATCTGCACCCAGCTGTCTTTGAAGTTCTGTTCCCTATGGGGGAACTGCATGTATCCATCTGTATTTGGTGGTTAGAAGTCTGACACCTTTAAGCTGTGGGACCTGAAAACTCTCCTGAAAGTCATTAGGGGCATTTGCTTAATTAGGAGAACTTGAGCAGATTGTTCATTGGATGCAGAGAATGCCAGTCATCTCAGCTCTTTCAATAAGCTGCAGGAAATGGGAACTTAACAGCCCAATAAGGAGATGCAGTTTTAAAACTGGATGGGACAAGCATAAGACCACTCCCTGAGCCCACACAGCTCAGACTAAGCCAGGGGACGTGCTTAGAATTAAGAATCCTGAATGACAAAGAGAAACTGGTCAGAACTGGGGCAGGACTTTGAGGGCTCAGTCCTCCCTCCAGGTCTGTCTCACCTCTGAAGCAGTAGACGTTGAAGCGGCTGTGCTTGTTGGGGAAGCCCGTCTGGTTAGGAAAGAGGAAGAGGGTCTTGACACCAGGCAGGCCCCCACCACAGCGCTGGCTGGGTGTGACGATGGGGTAGCGCACACTGCCATCAGCCAGCCAGCCCGGGCTGCAGCGATCCAGGCCATCATCCCAGGCTGCATACAGCTGGCCTGTAGTGGCAATCTCTGCTCCCCGCTCCCGGCAGTAGGCCCGTGCCTCTTCCAACGTTAGCTTGTCTGGAGGGGCACCTAGGAACAGTTCTCCTGGGTGGGGAAGAGGAGCTGGCTTACCAGGAAGTTGGTAGCCCTTCTACCTGGAGCATCCATAGGACCGTGGGCAAGCTTCTCCAGGCTCAGTCTCCTTATTGATATGGACTCAGACTGATAGAATCAAAGTCTGGGAATAACCTGGAGATGTCCATTACCGATCAAGGGAACCTGGCCCAGCTTCCTGAGGCTGCAGAGGCATGCAGGGACTGAACAGTAGGTAACAGAACAGTTACAACTCAGTCTCCTATCACAGGTGAGGCTTTGCTCATGAACTTGCCTCTGTGATAAGAGTTTGGAAAAATGGGTACAGATTATCTCCTTACTCTTGCTTGCCCCTTTAAACAAACAAGAAACAATGAGGCCTAGGAGAGGTCCCCAGAAGGACCAAAGGGCAATGCTAGAAAAGGAACTTAACCAAAATCACCATTTAGGTCTTCTGCATAACAGTAGACATCATAGAGGTCATCGGGGTCCACCACTCCATAGTTCCGGACTCCAGGGTAGCCATCCATGTCACCATAACAGGCCTCTCGTGGGGTCTGGATGGGATATCTGAGGAGGGAGGAGATACAGTGCCTCCCAGGGGGGTGCTATCTCATATGGACCCTACAGATCCCACTGCCCTTAGTGCAGTCAGTGGGCTGATAGGCTGGCGGACATCCCAGCTCTGCAGGGAAAGACCCCCAGGCAGGTCTTCACCCATCCTCCTTAGACCAACTTCCTCCCAGAAGTAAGGAGCCCCGTGTGCCCAGCCTTAGGCAGCAGGTGGCCCTTGGCATGACCACTTCAGCAGAGACAAGCAGAAGCCCCTGGTTCACAGCTCCAGCCCACCTCACAGTCTGGTCGGACAGCCAGCCAGCATCACACTGCTCATAGCCTCCAAGGTAGGCAGCGTACAGCTGCTCAGGTGTGGCGATGCGAGCTCCGATTCGAGTACAGGCTTCCTGGGCCCCAGCAAAGGAGAATGCATAGCGGGCAGAGCCCTCCCGGTAGAGAAAGACGACCCCTGAGGGGCAGAGAGGTGTCCTGAGCTCGGCTACCCAGCAGGCTGGGCTTCCCCTCACCTCCTTGTACACAAAGGTAAAGTCCAAATGGTACTCATTGTACAACACGAGGGGCTTAAGTTATGAGGCTGGGTAGATTTTGTCCCACCTGAGGAGAGAAAGGAGGTAACAAAAGCCCGTGTCTCCTCCCTCCTTCTCCAGCTCAGTCTGTGCTTTCCAGGGGCAAAGTCTGTTTCCCCCACCCGACTGTGGGCTTCCGGGGTAGTCCACCCTCCATCTCTTCCTTCCTCCCCTCGGGCCCTCTCACCTTTGACCTTGACCTCCACAGCATCGCTGCTGTCGTCGATGCCGTGCTGCACCTCGCAGCGGTAGATGCCCGAGTCGTTGGGCCGCAGCTCACTCAGCACCAGGGAGACGTCCGTGAGCGACGCGGGGTAGGCCGGCAGCGCCACACGGAACCGGTAGGCCTCGTTCACCTTGACGCGCAGGCCCCGCGCCACCAGCACCTCCGCCTCCCGGCCCCCGGACAGGAAGGTCCACTTGACCCGCGGAGAGCCCGGCGCGGCCCGGCGGCTGGATGGCGGCCGCAGGTAGTGGACGTGGCACGGGATGGTGAGGGCGCCGCCCAGCACACCGCGCAGGGGCTCGGGGCCTGCCGAGCGCACTCGGAAGGCTCGGTCCTCTGTGGGAGGGCGGGGCGGGGCGGGGCCGGCTGCCACTTAGTGGACCTCGGGTGCCGCCCTGTGGTCCCAAGCCCCGCCCTCAGCACCTGGGCCCGCCCCGCGGCCCCAAGCCCCGCCCCCGCGGTCCCAAGCCCCGCCCCCGGGACCGCCCCTGGTCCAAAAGCCCCGCCCCCAGGACCAGGTCCACCCTGTAGTTCAAGCTCCACTCCCAGCACCCGGGCCGCCCCACCAGGGCTCTCGCAGTCAATGCTTTTTGGATCCTTCGTGCCCCATCCAATTGTCTTCAGGACTGGTCTCCCCAGACTACACCAGGGTCTGCACCGTAGCATCCGCCAACCAAGGCGGCTGTGTTCCCCAGCGCTGTCCATTAAGTTTTCTCGTGTCTCTGGGCTTTGCCCAGTTCCACTCCATTCTGCCCCCAGCTCCAGTCATCTGAACTCCAAGAGGACCCCCATCCTCCAGCCCAGAGGCCCTTAGCCTTGTACCTCATGCTGCTCCCCAGCCCTAGGCCCAACACTTGTTCCTGAGGGCCCAGCCCAGACTTTCCTGATAGGCCTCTCATTTTTTTCTCCTTCCTTGGGTTGCCTACGACTGGAAGCAGTTGGTTCAGGTGGAAGGAGAGAGACCACTCTGCCATAGTGCTGGGGAATGCAGGATGGGAATGATACATAGGCAGCCCCCTGCCCCAAGGGGGCCTGCTTACCTGAGCTGTCCCCTTCCAGGACACCAACTAAGGCTGCAGGGACCTGGGTTAGGGCCAGGATCATCAGTAGGGGCAGAAGCAGTGGGGCCATGTTGCTGGAGAGACTTGAGGAAAGATGGGGTTAGCCTTCAGGATGGACTTCTGCTGGCTTCTGGCCACACCTACACGGGTCCACACATCTCCTAGACCCAGAAGCTTGTTGCCACTGTTTCTAATCCTTGTCTCCTGGCCATCAAATTCCCTACAACCTACCTGGCCTCCTCCAGGAGGGCCTCCTAGACTGCACCCAGGCAATGCACAAACTCTCTCCAGCCCGTTCCCTCCTCTACCTCCTCCCCACCATTCCTTATAAGGAAGCTCTCCTCTTTTGCCCCAGCATCCTCCACCCCCCTCCCTTCTTCCTCCCAGCAGTTCTTTTCTGCCTGGCACGGGCTTTCCCACCGGATCTCCTGGCTCAGAAACCAGCTGGGACAAAGCCCCTGTCTCTGCCAGTCTGGCCTCCATCCAGCCTGTCCCTTCCCCCCAGTCCACCTTTTGTAAAAGCCCTGGGCTGGGCGTGGAGTGAGGAGGCTTGAGAGTAAGAAGGCTCACCCCTCCCTGCCTCTGGCATCAGGAACTCTAGAACCCAGAATATTTTTCTGAAGATCTCAAAGTGCTTATAGTTTCACAAGGGAGGTAGTGAAAACATAGAGGGACAATGATGCCCAGAGAGGGACAGGGCCAACCCTGGGATCCCAGCCCCTAAGAAGGAAAGCTGCAGAGATAATGTCTAACATTATCTTTAAGGACAGGCTGGAGTTACTAAATTATGAGAACCTAAATCTGCTATAAAACAGGTTGATGATGCAGCAGGAGAGATGGTTAGACTTCCAGAAAGACTTCCTTAGATTAGGCATATGCCCATTAGCTGCCCTCTCCAGAGACCCCAGGCCCATTGTTTAACCTCCATCTTCTCTACCCACTCATGTGGTGCCTTTATACAATCCCCTCTCTCCTGAGCCTAAACCAGTGGAAAGTTCCCTCTTCTCCCAGCCCTTTCCTGCCTAGGCTCCCCAGTCCTTCACTATGGTAATCTCCATGGCAAGTCAAAACTGGGGAGGAGGGCTGGAGCCAGATGCTAAGGGTTGTTTTCTTTGTGAGGAGAAGCTGTTGATGGGACCAAGTCAGAGGGTGCTGCACAGGCCTGGAGGGTGCTGTCATCTGGGCCAGAGTGGGGACCTTTGGAGCAGCCAGTGTCCACCCAAAGCTGGGGACTTGTTTGCCAAAGCATCTGTGCTGGGCCAGGGCCTGCAAAAGGCCTTCCTGGGCCCTTCCTGGGCCTTGGTGCTGAAGCTGCTCACAGGCCAGGCCCCAGCCCTGACAGGTGGCCCAGAAACCCATATAGTTGGAGCCACTCTGGGGCCAACACGCTGGACCATTCCTTTTGCCTTAGTTCTGACAGCAGGGGAATGAAGGAAGAGGACCTAGGTACCCTAGAAAGGAGACAGCAACCCCTCACCTCTCAAGTGGAAGTCACTGACCAGACGCTTGTCCTGTCCTCAGGGAGCTCTGTCTTCCCTCCGCACAGTTACGCTGGGGCCTCAGTTGCAGTAGGAGTTCTGAGGAAAACCATGTGGCACAGGTAGGAGGCCAGTGCTCCAGTCCTCATCTCTCGCCCCAGCCACATCTAGCCCTCTCTGCCGGTCTTCCCTACCTTCAAGCAGGACACACCCATCCCTCTTTCCAGTTCTGTTTCCTACTCCTGCCTCTGGACCTCTGCCCTTGTCATACATTCCTTTTTTTTTTTCTTTTTGCTTATGTGGTGCTGAGGAATCGAACCCAGGGCTTCAGGCATGCAAGGCAAGTGCTCTACCACTGAGCCACCTTCCCAGCCCCTCCTTTTTTTATTGTCCCTGCCCTGAGGCTTGAACTCAGACCCTGGGTGCTCTCCCTGAGCTTTTGTGCTCAAGGCTAATGCTCTACCTCTCTGAGCCACAGCTCTAGTTTTGGCTTTTTCGTTAACAGGAGATCATAGTTTCACACACTTTCCTGCTACAACTGGCTTTGATCCGTGATCCTCAGCTCTCAGCCTTCTTAGTAGCTAGGATTACAGGTGTGAGCCACTGGTACCTGGCTTAAGTTTTTGTAGCTCTTCAGGAACTTTCGTCTGGTTACTTCATGGTTCCAGTTGGCCACAGATATCTGTCTCCTTCTCCTTTTTTTTTTTTTTTTAATGCCAGAACTGGGGCTTGAACTCAGGGATTGGGTGCTAGCCCCTTAACTTTTTCTGCTCAAGACTAGTTGCTTTACTATTTGAGCCACAGTTCCATTTCCCTATTTTTGGTGGTTAACAGGAGATAAGAATCTCACTGACTTTCCTGTCCTGGCTGGCTTTGAACCTGGATCCTCCAATCTCAGCCTCCCCAGTGAGTAAGGAGGATTGTAGATGTGAACTACTGGCACCTGGCTCCTCACAGCCTTCTCAGATCCAATTCACAGGGAATCAAGACCAGGCTGTGTGTGCCCACATGCACCTACCACCCACCACCTCCTGGGGGAAGGGCCACCAGCTGGCAGCCCATTGCTGTTCCGCAGGACCTGAGCTCAGCTCTAGGCTGGTTCCACAGGGAGACCCGGGAGGCCAGAGCTTGGCTATTATCCCCTTACTGGCTGTGTGAAGCACAGGAACCTACACAATACCAGCGAGGCCTTGGTGCCTGCAGAAATAATTGCAGCCACATAAATAGTCCTATTTATTGGAAGCACAACTAGTTACACTCTCAGAACATCGCAGCTGAGTTGTAGATCTTTCAGTATTGGTCCTGCCATGGGCATGATGGGGGGTTTTCAAGGTACATAGCCAAGGTACAGGCACTGTACTGCCAGAGGGAGGACTGGGTCTGCTGGGAGCCCTGGTCCCCTGATCGGACTGGTATTTTCTGGAATCTAAGGGATGCATGATTGTACTGGTGCTTGCTCCTGTCAGCCCCTCGGGCAGAGCTAGTCTGAAGGGAGGAGAGGGGTGGAGCCCTGGGCGGGGGGGGGGGGGGTGCTCCCTTCTATCTGGCAGTGCCCTGGACCGCCTAACAGTTCCTGTAGTACCTCTTCCCCCGCACCGTCCCCCCTCCGCCCCAGCCAGGCCTCCTACTAAGTGTCTCCCAAGAACACCCTCAACCAAAAGAAAAATATTCGGGTTTTCCTTGTGACCCGCGAGGTTAACCAACTTGTCCAAGGTCACACAGCAAGTAAGCGACAGAGTTGGGAGTCCAGCCGTTCCCAGAGCCCTCCCTGCGGGTCTGCGGGCCGCCCAAGTAAGGGCTGACCCCACCGCCTTGGCCAGGGCAAGGTCGGAAGCGGGCGCCGGGCGAGGCGAGGAGCGCGCGCGAGGAGGTGCGAGGCCGAGAGGGGCGTTCCCAGCAGCGGCCGGGGGGCGCGGGCCGGGGCGCGCGGGCCGGGGCGCCTGGGGCGGCCGGGGCGGCTGCCCTCGCCCCCTCCGCGGCCGGAACGCGGCACTCACCTCCGAGGACCGGCGGCTGTGCTGGCGCCTCCGGCAGGGGCCGCTCCTCCGGGGGCCCCGCGGTCCGCGGCTCGGTCCTGCAGCTGCGGCCGAGACTGCGGCGGGACTGCGCGGCGCGGGGACAGGCCGGGCCGCAGGACGGCCGGGCGACACACAAAACCCCTTTTCTTCCCCCCTGCCCCGCCCTTCCCCCGGGCCGCCCCCGCCCCTTGGCCGGGACCGTGGGGGGCTCGGGACGGTCACGGGACCGGCTGCCTTCTCCGCGTCCGTTCCCGGCGGCGGCGGAGGCAAGGACAAGCGAAGTAGGACATCGTTCCGGGGATGAGAAGACTTGGAGTAGAAGGGAGGGCAGAAGGGGCGGGGATCGAGCGCTAGAGGATGATGTTGCAGCTAGAGAGATGGAAGTTAGACCACTGGAGGGACTTCCCATTGGGCAAAAGGGGAAGAGGAGGGACTCACCCATTGGGAAGAGGATGAAGGGGGCAATGGGAGCTTTTGCTCCTGGAAAGAGTGATAATCCTCCTCGACTCCATACAATGAGAAGTTCCTTTCCAGAAGCAATGCTGAGATGCAAATGACCACAGCCACCTCCCTGGAGGGAGCCCTGATTGCGTTTTGTCTCCTGTGGTTACCCCACTCCCTGCACAGAGGAAGGGCTGACTTTGCAGGTGGACAGGCTGGTGAGACCCCCAGAAACCTGGGCTAAACAAAGCAAGAGAAGAACTCTCTAGGGGGTGGGGAGGTGGGGGTTTGCTGGTGGCCCCCTGAGCGGACATCACGGCTCAAGCAAACCAATGTGAAAAGTGCAGGCGTTGCTGGGAGCCCAGAGAGCCAGCTGGCGGACCAGTAGCTGCTGTCTGGTGCCAAGGGGTGGGGCAACCATCAGGGTTCCACAGCAGCCAGAATACCAATGATGCCCCAGCCCCCCCCCCCCCCCCCAGGACCTCAGCTCCTCTGCTTTCCCAGGCTTGCTCTCCTTTCCCCTCCCTTTCCTCCTCCCTCCTGGGACTCTAGGCTAAGCCCTGGCATGGATTGTGGCAAGCTAGCCAGATGCCTGAATCCTCTCTCCTAGATACCAGTGATGGCACCAAGGGTAAGGGGCAGGGACTTTGATCCTCAGAAACTCCAGCAGCATCCCCCCAAAATTACAAGTGAAGTGAGGTGTCCAATGCAAATACAAATGCAATACAGTATTCTGAGGGCAGGTTCCGGACCTGATTTCTATGTGGCCTGCACTCTATGTCCCTCCTAGGATTTCTAGACTGTGAGGCGCTGGTGACACTGGTGTAATCCCAGTGACTCACTCAGGAACCTGAGATCTGAGGATCACAGTTTCAAGCCAGCCCAGGCAGGAAAGGCTGTGAGACTCTCATCTCTAATTAGCCACCTAAAAATCAGAAGTGGAGCTGTGGCTCAAAGTGGTAGAGCACTGGCCTTGGGCATAAAAGCTCAAGCCCTAGCCTTGCACCAGTGGCTCACGCCTGTAATCCTAGCTACTCAGGAGGTTGAGCTCTGAGGATGACGGTTCAAAGCCAGCCTGGGCAGGAAAGTCCATGACACTCTTTTTTTTTTTTTTTGTCAGTCGTGGGGTTTGA